ATTACAGTAAATACGTTTTTATTTCGAGTCGTGCCATCAAAATCCCGCTGGATCTGTTTATCCGACGATATGACGATTAAAGCCTGTGTTTCCTCGTTTGTCCATCCTTCCATTTTACTTTTTTTATATTTTTGTTTCTACTGCTTTTTATTTAGTTTCTCACTGTTCACTTTGTGTTTCAAAAGATGGCGGTTGTATTTTGTGTTTCAGCGGCAGGCTATTTGCATAACCAGTCAACAGCAAATACGTTTGCAAGTCCCACCCCAAAGTACCAGAGAAGTACCCCAGCTGGTACTCTACCGGAAGTCAATAGAAAAGCAAAAGCACCATACTTTGTGCAGTGGAAAAGCACCCATAGTCAACTGCATGTACGTCAACTGGTTCAATGAATGGCCAGAAGATGCCCTAGTGTCAGTTAGTGCCCAATTCCTCTCTGAAACTGGAGGAATTATAATTAAACTCTTGTGTCTTCAAGGGACCTGTATGTAAGAGATGGGAATGTGGTCACCATTCCTTGTTAAGTGCTACATATAGCAGATTTTGGTGGTCCGCCTTTCCTCTTCTTCAGTAACCAGTTTACATCTCCACTTCTGCATACCAGCCTAAGGTGAAAACTTCCCCAGCCGAGTTTATGAGCTTTGTGCATAACACCGGCAATGAGATGTCTAAATTCTAAATCTTGTTAGACCTTTGCTATAGCTGTACTACTCCAGAAACCTTTTTGGAGCAAATCAAACTGTACCAAAACCCATTGGCCACCAAAATGTAATTGTTGTCAAAGATGGCAAGATTGGTTTAACCAAACTACAGCACACTACAGCTGAGGTAGTGGGGTTTTCGGCAACCCTTGTTCAGACATGGTAGTTCTAGGTTGCTGAACAGTGTAGATTACATCATTGGTATTATTATGAGTATAGTAAATAGTGTATGGTACCCAGATGAAGTGCTACTGAACTATGGAAGATCAAATAAATTGCAATAATGCCACACAATTAAATTGCTTAAAAGGGCTTAACTTTTGGCTAGGTTGACAACATTAAAGTTATGTTGGCTGTACAAGACTTAGAACTCTTTCAGGAGAATGAGGATGCTGACAAACATATCCAAATAGTGGGTGTGGAGATTTCCAAGGAAAAGACTGAAGCTGAACATGCAAGTTATTGCAAGTGTACTCATTTGTTTTCAGATATTATATTTAGTCAGTGCCGGATATCTGCATCCTGTGCTAATCATGAGACCCATTAGAGTCACAAGTTGTTGCCATAAAACGAAGGTCTTGTGACGAGGACTTGGCCAAAGCAGAACCAGCACTGCTTGCTACCCAGGAAGCTCTGAACACACTCAATAATATCAGAGTGTTACCCATGGTTACATGCATCTGCATATAAAAATCACAACAGCAGTATTTTCTGTTTTTCCACCATTTCTTTCTTTCCTCAGAGCAAGCTGACAGAGCTGAAGTCTTTTGGATCACCTCCAGAGGCCATGGTGAAGGGTACTGCTGTGATGATGCTCCAGGCCTTGGATCCTTAAAAAGTATTACATTTATCTAAAAACCAGGCCTCAATTGGTCCTAAAGTGCATTAAAATCATGTTAAGGGTTTTTAAAATAGCACAAATATGGAAAATAACATTGATTAACATGTTCGTGAATGGGAAGATTTTACAACTGACAGCAATAGTTTTTTTTTCCGGGGCACTAGCTTCAGGTAACTAACAAGCCGCTCTAAGCCAGCCTGTAAATAATGTTACCTGCCACTTTTTGGAAGGGGAAACTGACAATTCAACAAAAACTGGATGCTTGAAATCATGAATATGACACTCATTGTAAACTGTGCAAGAAGTACTTCAAACTCGGCACCATGGGAATCAAAGCTGTAGAATCTCACCTTGCATGAAGGAAACACAAAGCGGCCAACAACCTAAAGTAACTGGTGTTACTGCATGCTTTTTGCATGTGATGAGACTGGTCTTAAATTAAATTTTAAATGACATTAAGTCGTCTTAAAAAGTCTTCAGTCTAACTTGCTTAAACCTGCATATGCCCTGCCCAAGGACAAAAACTGGAAAAGCAGCTGAAAACATGGCGGCCAAAGGAGATGTCTTTCTTGAAAGTCTCATTAGCTATAATAAAGAAATAATTCTAGTTGTGTACATCAAAGCTTTCCTAGTAAGTTTTTCATCTGGTTTTTTGTTAAATGTTTTGATGGATTAATTTCTTGCTAAAATACAATGAAACAGCGTACTTCAATGTCTGCTTACATTACCTGTTCCTGAATTTAATTCAAATTGTTTTTACCGTGCCAACAAAGGCCCTTTAAGGATAACCCCACAATTCAACCAGATTTGATCAGGTCTAAGTCCATAAGCACCGCCAGCCTCAGTTTGCCGTGCCTCAGTATCATGAGGGTCTGCGAAGGACTGTTTGAGCCCAGGAGGCAGTTCCTGACTAACACGGGCACGGGACAAGCTGCCTGCCTTAAAGCCCAAGATAACCATAAGCACTGCCTTTCCGTGGTGGGGACAATTGATACATTATTATTATGCTTTCATTACATATAGCAGATGTATACAATTATGCAGATGTGCATGGCATCCAGCATTTTTTGTAGTATGCCTGGCATTTAATGAATTCACATGGCCTAAGTACCCTAATTAAGAGTATAACAGCAGTTCCTCTTGAGCTTGTTTCTTGAGCTATGCTTGATGTGCTCACCAGGTTACCATCTTATTAAAACAGTGTGTTGTAATTTTAGCAATTAAATCCAAACTTGGCCAACTTAACCATGAAATTTGAGAAAGCTACTGCCAATCAACTCAAATGCCAACAGGAGGCAGACACCATGAAGTAGACAATCTTCTTAACAGGTAAAAATGTCTAGTACAAATTTACTGCAGCATCACAATATTTTACTGGTGACACTTTATTTGAAGGGTTACAAATGATGTAGTAGTACACTCTAAATTAAAAGTATCAATGAACTAGAAACTGTTACACACTGTTAAACACTTACCATGTTTGTTCTCCATTAATCATAATGTGTTTCATGCAGGTACTATTCATGCAGGTTCATGATTTGTACTTGAGTAGTAACTGATTACTTGTGCCCCCTCAAGTAAAGTGTTACCTTCTACATTTGCACCTTAGCATGCAGTAGTAATGCTGGTTAATTTGTCATGAAATAATTTGAAGCATTGGTTTATATTAAAGGGTTGAGACTCCCAATGTGCTGACTAAGAGTGACAGATGGCAGTAATCTCTGCTTTGGTGCTTTTGCCTCAAAGACTCATTGGAGGGTTAGTGTGTGAAAAGGTCTGCCACTCTGCACCTAGGGCTCAGCTCTGGAGGAGACAATGAGTAGGGAGATTGTGCTCATCTGTGCTTTTAACTCCTGTGTGGGTTACTTCACCAAGAAATAGCACACCATCTTCATGGATAACTAATGGATACCATAACTGAAAGAGCTGGATGAAGTTATCAAATAGACCGCTGAATGTTTGTAACTTTTGACTGACATTGTTCCAAGGATAGGTATATCTGAATAAGTTGAGCGATACTGATGCAGCAAGCTAAACCCTTAGAGCATTCAGGCTAGAATCTGGCGCTACCTCTGTGCAGAATTACCATGTCGTGGTTTATGTCTAGCTCCTCTGATTTCTTCCTACATTTCACAATCTACTTAAAACGTTGCTTGGTGTCTGAATGTGTGTACTTTTGTTTATTAAAGATAACAGGTATAGATTGAAGTTAGTATGATACTCCATTACTTTTCAAACAATATGAATTAATCCATTTAGTCATATTTGATGTCTCAGGTCCCCATTCCCATCACAGAGGATTTAGATCCACAAAGTCCTTACAGACGGTGACAGCGTCCTGCTCGTTGAGACCACTGGAAAGACAGTAGAGTTGCACTGGCTCCTCTCCTCAGAAGAAATACGATCAAGAAGGGAACGTGAGATTTTCTGAGAGGGCATCAGACATCAAAGATGTTAAAAGATTTCACACACGCATTGATTTTCTTTGACATTGCAGTGCTTTGATTTGGCAGTTACCTTCGGATTGGTGACATGAAGGTTGAATATCATCCAAACTTTGTCATCTTGCATACCAGGAATTCCAGCCCTGCCTGCAAGCCAGAGCTGCAGGCTCAGTATGCTCCATCCCACTTTGTGGTGAGCAGGAATGAGCTGGAGGACAAGATGCTGGGCGCTGAGGCTGCCAGAGAGTGGCCTGATCTGGAAGAGCTAGGAGTTTGCATGTGTACTCGTTATTGTACACATTGGGAATCCCAGAGTTCGATTTCACTTTCAAACTCTACCAGATTGTTGGAACCAGCTGTATCTATGACAGTATCCCCACCTGGACTGCACTCTTCTGCAGCACGTTAAATTACAGGATGGCAAAAAGAAAAAGAGAAATTGGAAGTAACCATCAGTTCTTAATGGCTGTGTAGTGTTGTTATGTTTCACTTTCCCTTACGGGTCTTGCGTCCTGTGCAGGCAGAGCTCACCAATACAATAACATCACAGGCTAGAAGGCCAAACTGAAAGGCAAATCATAAATCTTTATCTTGCTTTGTGTATAGCCCAAGCCTACTTCCGTGACAAAAGGCCAGTTAGTCACGGTCTGATATCGTTAATTATCGATATCATGATATTAGCCATTCTTAATGAGTGCATCTGTATTTTTGGAACATGAGCCACAACTGCACTGTGAAATGTTCATGTGACACACTCTTGCTTTTTTAGATTTTAATGACATGAAGAGAGATCATTCCAACAGAGCTGTACTTCCTCTTGAAGTCCCCCTCAAAGCAGGACTGGTAACTCCAGTTGACTTTCTTTCCAACAAAGGCTGGGGTGGAATCAAGATGCCAATTGCTGCTGGCTTTCTTCGGGTTCTAACAAACGGAGCCAACACAGCAACCCTACAACAACCCTACAAAAACCGTATTACATAGCTCGCAATATCAGTCACACTCATTTCAACAGGTATCATTATTTAAACATTAATTTTATTTAAAATCTTACATTATACATTTCTATGTCATTAAAAAATTACACTGTACAATACGACAAACAATAAACAAAGAAAATGACCATTGAGGTATCTAACTGAAGGTTCTTTGAGCTGATGTAGTACATTGTTTTTTTGGGCAATAAGCCCCCAGATTAATGATGAATGCTTCTGTCAGTCACTCTGCCGATATCAAAACCTGCAGCATTACTGGTGGTTCTTCCAGGGTATCTCACATCAAATAAGTTCTGATAGGAGCAGGTGGTGTTACATTAAAGGTGATGGAGAGCATTACACCATATTCAATGGGTCTCAATCTGAAGAAGGGAGAATAAGCAAAAAGAGCTTCACCCTACTGGTAACATTCAGAACTTCAGAAATCAAGCAGCTGGCATTTAAATTCGGAAGAGATCTTATTTATCCTAGAGGCAGGCAGTTTGAGTATGGGACGCCTGTCACATACAGGTCTGACACTAATGTACATGAAGTCACTGACGGCCGCTGAATGCAGGGTGATGCAGACCAGCCACGGCAGAGAGGCTGGAGGCTTCTGTGCTGCAGATCGCTTAGATGAGGCTGACTGTATTTCATGCGGAAGTCCGTACCGGCCTGAAAGACTTGCCTATGTGTTTTTCAGGGCCTGGCCGGGACACACAAATAGGATCGACCACAGGGGCAAAGCAGGAGGAGCCGACATCCGCCACGCCGGTCATCTTCATCAAATACACCCCCACGGACTGGCAGGGGAACCAAAATGTCTACGAGTGTCCCGTGTACAAGCCCACATGTGTGGGCTGACCTTCGTCTGGAACTTCAATCTGAAGACCATGAAGAAACCAGGCAGGTGGGTGCTGGCAACTGCTTGTCCACGTCTGAATGTGCAGAAGCCGTTGCTCCCATCTTCTTCTCAGGCATTAGCCACTTGTGTGAACTCTGAGAAACACGGCATAGTGAAATGTGATTCCTAAGGGCATACATTCACTTGGGTATAATACAGAGGATGCAGTTTTACAAAAACACAAACAGTACAGTAGACTGATGAAATAAAGCAATACATGAGGTAAAATCACCCCAGGACCAATTCACCCTCCTGTTCTTAAAAAAATGTCAGCAGAAGACTGAACGTATCTAAATAGACCCATGAGGCTATGGTGGAAGGCCTTCCCCTGCAGGGGCCCCTGGCCCTCGGGCTTTCCAGCATGGTCACACATGCCACAGACAGGGGCTTAGCTCCATGGAACCTCCCGAGCTCGGCATGCACATCCAGCTTGCTGCAGAATCCTCCCCCGAAAGATGGTAGTTTCCTCAAATCCCTTGAGATCTACAGATCCATATTACTGTAAATCCAATCTAATTATCCTGAGATGTAACCACATGTAATTGGTTCTTGGGTTCTTATCGATGTTTTACTCAGTCTACCCGCACATCCAGATATAAATACAACGCTAGGAACAATTTATCATGGTTAAATTGCCAGAGTAATGATGCTGGTCCTTATTACACAGTCACAGCTCTGTGTGGAAACTATAATGTACCTTCACTCATTCACACATTTAGGCACATTACGCTGCAGCTCCTTCCGTAACTCCCGTAACTGATATGGTATGCCAACATCAAGGCTTTTAATATTTCTCATTTAAAAACCTATACAGGCTACCTAGAGATTTTCCCTAAAAAACAAAATTCAATATATATATATATAATCCAACTGATCTCTGGTTGACAGAACAAAAGATGTCTCCAGGACTTAAATGTAGCAAATTAATGCTAAAATAAACAGCTTAAAGGGGCATAGTACATCTAAACAGAATGGCAGTGTTACCTTTTAAGTGGGCTGTGTGATATCATATCGATATAATATCATGCATGCGCAATAATCACCAAGGCTTCAGATGACGGGTGAAACATTTGGCTGGACGACAGCTTTTTGGTACTATACAGATGTTTATTTGTGCCCACAATTTGTTAAACAGTTTAGTAGTATACCTAAAATATGAATGAGGCATTTTATGACACCCAAAAGTTAGTAATCAGTATAAATTCGGCATATCTTTATGTTTAATAAATGTGTCAGACTTAACTGCAAAAAGTACCGCCACTCCGCCGTCATCTTTTTACCTTGTTTATCCACAAGATCATCTCTTTTAAAAGATGTTGTGGCTGTGGCTGCTGAGCTGTCCCTTTCTTCACCGCCACTATATAACAAACCATAGTGCACCAAAATAGTATTATGTGGTGTGCCCCGCTACAGTGCCCATTGCACCGAAGTATAGCAAACCATAGTATACCAAAGCAGTATTATGTGGTGTGCCCCGCTACAGTGCCCATTGCACCGAAGTATAGC